TGGGCTTCAATATAAAGACTGAATTACAGAATGGCATGAATAGGTAGAGGAAGATCAATTAGGAGGTTGCTATAATGAAATTATAAACATTTACATTTGTTAAGTGCTATACAAAATATTAGGCACTGGCTAAGCACTCTGTATCAAGGGTCTCCTTTAATGCTCTCAACAGCTCTTTAAGGGAAATAAACAATTATTATCCTCATTTTACAGATGTGGAAATCGAGGTACAGAGAATATAAGTAACTTGCTCAAGTTCACACAGGTAGTAACTAGTAGTCTGCCTCCAGAGCCCACATTCTTAACACTATTTTGCCACTCCCAGATGAGATGACAGTCACTTAGACAAGAGTAGTGGCAACAGGAAAGGGAATACGTGGCAGAGGCACAACTATCTGACTGAGTGACTGACTGGAAGACCGGCTGTAAGAGAAAGGGAGTTTAGAACAATACCTAGGTTTGAACAACTGGAGGATGGAGGTACCATTTACAGATATAGGGAATAAGTCTGGAAACAAAGATATTGAGTTCAGTTTTAGATATATTACGTCTGGTATTAACTAAAAGGCATCCTGGTAGAGATGTCCAGCAATAAATAAATGTAAACAGGCTATATCAGTTTAGCCACCACTCATCTGTCAGTTTGTCATACTGTGGTGGCTTGTGTTGCTGTGATGCTGGAAACTACGCCAGTGGTATTTCAAATACCATCAGCATAACCCATGGTGGACAGGTTTCAATGGAGTTCCAGACTAAGACTAGGAAGAAATATCTGACAATCTACTTCCAAAAATTAGACAACGAAAACCTTATGGATCACAACAGAACACTGTCCAACTCGCTTGCTTTGGACAGCTCGTCAGGAGAGATCAATCGCTGGAGGAAGACATCATGTTTAGTAAAGGAGAGGGCCAGCAAGGATTTGAATGTGCTCATGATCATAAGGATGACGCAGGACCTGGCAACATTTAGTTCTGCTGTACACAGGGTCACCATGAGTCTTTAGTCGACTATCTACATCAGTTTAGACCTCAGAAGAAAGGCCTGGGCTGGAAGTACAGATTTGAGGTAACCAAAGCCATGGAAGTGAAAGGAGCCACTGGGAAAAGTAAGAATGTACAGTGAAAAAGGGCTAAAACAGAATCCTGCTTAAATCAACATTTAAGCATCAAAGGAGAGTGACAGAGAGTCACAGAGAGGTCAGAGGGTCATATATGGAAAACTGTATAGCATCTAGTTTCAGTCCTCTTTCACTATGCCATGCCTAAAGAATAAAGTGACAGGGCTCTACTGAGATATTACTTTATGGCTCTAGATGCCTCTGCAGCAAAAAAAAAAAAAAAAATTAAATTCTTAATTAGAAGTTTTAAAAAACCACATTATCTCAATACAGCTATGATTTAGTTACTATACTATGCTTACGCATTAGCAAGACTTCACCCTGATAATCTAGTAACAAGATTCCAAATTGAACATATATTTTTATTTCTAAAACATATACTAACCTCTATGTCAACAACTGGAAAGATTCACTGCACTAATTATTGGGTTGCACAGTAACCAAATATCCCATGCAGTATATTCAATTATTATCTAAAGAAGGGAACTGCATATAGAGGATCTATATGGCTGGTGCAATTGGTTAACTCGCTTGGCCGCTAACTGAAAGGCTGGAGATTCGAGTCTACCCAGAGGTGCCTTAGAAGAAGGGCCTGATGATCTATCTCCAAAAAATCAGTCACCGAAAACTGGTGGCTCAGTGGTTAAGCATTCGGCTGCTAACCAAAAGGTCAGCAGTTCAAATCCACCAGCCTCTCCTTGGAAACCCTATGGGGCAGTTCTACCCTATCCTATAGGGTCGCTATGAATTGGAAACCACTCAACAGTTACGGGGATTTTTTTTTTTTTGTATGTGTTGAATAACATACTAACCCTTTACATCCATTACCTCATTTATTGTTGCTAGGAACATAAGACGAATATATTATTTGACTCATTTTAAATATGAGAAAAATGCACATCAAATAGGAGTTACTTCTCCACAATAAGTAATAAATAGTAGAACTATAAAAGTTACTCATCTAAAGGTCATGACAGAAAACTTATCTTCCTGACTTTAAAAACAGATACACCAGTAAGAGTTAGCTAAAACAGAAAGTAGAGATGACTGAGTTTGGTTATCACTTAATGTCCCATACCTCAGTGAGGTCTCCAATTTTAAAATGTTAAAATTAACATTTATGTCTTTATTCTTTAGGATTTTCTAATTTTACATCAAACTGATCAGACTGTCACCTAACTCCTCTAAAAGGTCCTTTACGTTTTTTTTTCCCCCTGCATAACTAGTACAAACATATCAATAAGCCTAGTGTTTGAGACTAAGGTAAAAGTAAAATAACCATTCTTTGTCTCATAGATAATCCAGGGCAATGATAGCATAGCACAACAAACAAAGACACCTATAAAAGCCACTTCTTGTTACTTTCTAATTTCCCTGCCTGATTAAACTCCTTTCACCAGTGCTCTTGATCCCATTACCTCCTGAACCATGTTCCTTCACTTATTAATCCTACTCCAATGACTACTGCCCCATGGTCTTTTCCAACCTAAAAAACCTTTCCCAAATCAGCTTTGCCCACTAATCCACTGCCTCACTTTTCCTCTTCCCTTTACCTCCTAACTTGTTCAATTACCCATGTCTGATTTTTCATCTCCTCATCACTTTGCCAAGATGTTTCCCTTTCCTACACTCTATTGAAACTGCTCTCTAAGGAACTAGACACTTCCTAGTTGCCAAATGTAGTTGCTTCTTTTTAGCTCTCATTTTGAGTTCTCTGCATCACTCACTAATCACTCCTTTAAACTTCCTTCACTTGGTTTCTTTAACTCAGCTCTGAACAGATTCTCATCCTACCTCTCTGAAAGCTTTTCAGTCTTCTTCTCCGGCTCTAAGACCTCTGTTTGGTCCTCCATATATGTTATCTCAGCTTACACGTTTGGCCTTCTTTTCAGTCTCTATATCTGCACTGTTAAATACAGTAGCCACTAGCCACACGTGGCTGTTTAAACTTAAATTAACTGAAACTAAATAAAATTTAAAAAATTCAGATCTTCAGTCAAACTAGTCACACTTTAAGTACTCAATAGCCAGAAGTGGCTAGTGGCGACCATATTGGACAGCAAGATACAGGACATTTCATCATCACAAAAAGTTCTATTGGACAGCACTGGTCTATATGCTCTTTTCATTCAATCACTCAATATATACATATTGAGGCAATGTCCTGGACTCTGGAGAGTACTACAGGAAACAAAGACAGACAATAAAGTTTGTCAGACAAACAATCTTATTTATTCCCAAATCATTCTGTGCCAATGACTCCCAAAACCTCTTCTGGGCTCGGAACTTGAACTTCCATCGGCTAGATTTCACCAGTTAAAGGCCTATGAAGTACTCTAAACTGAACTCTAACCTAGACTTATTATCTTCCCTTTTGTCTCAAACTTCCTTTTTCTGCATTCCTAATTTGAGTAATCCTAGACTCTTCTTTCTCTGTCCTACCACATCCAGTCACCAAATCCTGTGGAATCTATCTCTGTCTTTAAACCTATACCGTATGTCTACCAAACCAAAAAACCTAACCCATCAAGTGGGTGCCGCTTCATAGCGACCCTATAGGACACAGAACTGCCCCATAGGGTTTCAAAGGAGCGGCTGGTGGATTTGAACTGCCTACTATTTGGTTAGCCGCCAAGCTCTTAACCACTGCACCACCAGGGCTCCCTATGTCTACTAACCAAACCAAAAACCAAACCTGTTGCCGTCGAATCTATTCCAACACTTAGCGACCCTATAGGACAGAGAACTGCTCCACAGGGTTTCCAAGGAGTGCCCAGTGGATTCGAACTGCCGACCTTTTGATTAGCAGCCGTAGCTCTTAACCATTAGCCACCAGGGTTTCCTGTGTCTACTAGCGCCCTAATTATCTCTTGCCAAAAGCCTCCACAATTAACTTCTTTAACTCTATTCTTTCCACATTTGCATCATTCTTGCCCTAGTTCATCCTGCCATTACAATTATATTTCTAAAACACAAATCTGATCATGTACTTTCCCTGCTCAAAAATCACTGGCTAAACACCTAAAGAATAAAATATAAATCCTTAGCACGAATTCAAAGTGCCGCACAATTTGGTTACAACCGACTTCATCCTTCTAACCTCCTCTCCGGCTACATGCCGTATTGTTCAGCCACACCAAATTACTAGACTTACGTCCTTTCAAGCAGCAATTGCTCCCAGAAATTTTGTTTTTCTCCACTTAAACAAATCCTATTCACCCGTAAAGGCCGAGTTCAAATGAAACCTGTCTTTGAAGTCTTTGCCATCCCTCCGTCAGACTTAATTATCTCCTCTTCAGAGCTGTTGTAACACTTATTCATAACCATTGTAGTTTATTCCCAGTGTCTAGTACAGTGACTAGGGCATACAGTGTTAAATGGGTTAAATCTCTCTCTAGACAATTATCGGTGTGATACGTGAAATTAAAATTTAAAATTATGTTCTTAAAAATCTTTTCATTCTCCTCAAGGTTTTACAGGTTGAAACGCTGTGGTTAATCAATAAATATTCAGCAGAGTGAGACCTGTCCGATATTTTCCCACATTCGGAGGAGGGCAAAGATGCTGCCTAAATGGAAGCTTTGCGAGGGAACTAGAAATTCTGGGCCTCCCCTCCACCAGCAGTTTGGTCCTCTTTTCCAAAAAAAGGCCGACAAGACAGAATGAGAGGGCTTCAGCGGCCACTGGGCGGGAGACAGAAGAGGGTCACTATGGAATGAGGCGAGAAGAAACGTTCCAACTAGAGACAGAATGGAGAACGATATCCCCCCCTTTCGCCCTCTGATAAGCCGATTTACCTAGATTATTGCTCCAGTTTATCACTCGCACCTTCCCTGTTTTTACTTCTGGGGCGCGAACATGTTTCCCTCGCGCAAGTTACCTCTTCCGGAGTTTCGTGACAATCACTTCCGGAGCAGGAAACGCGAAGGGAACAATCATTTTTCCTTCTCGCCCCGCCCACAGGGCTCGAACTGAGAGCCGAACTGAAATCCCGCGAGGATCGGCCGAGGGTACCGAAAAGAAGGAGGAAAGTTTCTCCTACAGAGGGTGTCTCCCGGGGGAAACCGGACCGGAAGTGACGCGAATGAGTTCCGGTTGGTCGGAGCCTAGCGGCGGGTGTGAGAATCGGTCAGGAGCCGCTTCCAGGATCCTGAGATCCGGAGAAAGCAGGGTCTGAGCGGGTAGGTAAATGAGCGCGGGGAATTAGGGAGTGAAGCCTGAGACTGTCCTCAGAGTCTGACTTCTTCTGAAGCTCTCAAACTTAAACGGTGCAAATCTGAGGCATCCGTGATTTCTACTTCCAGCGGTATTTTCGGGAGCTGCTGACTTTGTATGTCTCAGCCTGGCGGTAGCCAGGTTATCTGGGACATCTCCCCATTGTTGGCCACCGAGACATTGAACCCAGACACTTGACCCCTGACCGTTCGTTCTCCTCTCCTTGGGCTGGGAAACCGTTTTAGGCTTCTGTAGAGAACCGACCTCCGTCCTTCTCGAAGTATGCAAGACCTAGGAGTAAACGGAGATGGTCTTCCCTGTTGATGATCGAGCTTTTTCTGAGGATCTGGCAGTTTGGGTTCTTGCCCTCCCCAGCCATTAGCGCGTGATGCTAAATGTATCCGCTCCTAAACAAAACTCAGGCGTGCAAGTACCATCCTAAGTGGCCAAGGGAATGGGGCCTTTGCTCTGTAGAGCCTTTGCAGAGGACCTTCTCGGATCTGATCTCCCACTACTTTCAGGAAGAATAGTTCTCTACCTTTTTCTAATCCCTGACCCCTGTATTTCATTACAGTGGAGGTATTTGCAGTAAAACGTGAAGGTTGACTTTATTTCTAAATTTCCTAGAAGCCATATGTGGTCCTGTGTCACACGGCTACAATTACTTATGACCTCCAGTAGATTTTACACAATTATCTTTTGATTTCCTGCAACTTCATGCAAAAATCTCCTAATATATAGCCTCTGGCACTGTTTACCTATCTTGGCTCCATATTATAGCATTATTGTCTTTAAGTTCTTTGAGGCTTGTCAGATATTTTGTAAACAGATTGCACTGGTCATTTGGAGAAACTTGTACACGTATTTCTAGTTTTTAATGATAGAGAATTGAATATTCCAGCTGCTAGTATCTGTTACTTGTTTAGTCATTAGCACTTGATTTTAGTTCTTAGCATAGAAGATGATAGGGAGAAACTGTTATTTACTAGGCAGTATTTTATGCTTTCAGTATTGTTTTTGGAAACCCTGGTAGCATAGTGGTTAAGAGTTTGGCTGCTAACCAAAAGGTGGGGAGTTCGAATCCACCAGGCCCTCCTTGGAAACCCTATGGGGCAGTTCTACTCTGTCGTATATGGTTGCTATGAGTCGGAATCAACTCGATGGGAGTGGGTTTGGTTTTTGGTTTTTTAGATTGTTTTCATTGACCCTTGGAAGAGGGATGGTGGTACACAGACAAATGTGAAATATATATGGAATGACTCTAGATATCTTTCATATTCTTTGTTTACATTATGCACTGAGGCTTTTTTTTTTCTTCTAAGGGATATATTCTACTTGAATACAGTTGATTAATATAGCTTAATTCCTGTGACTCACATTCCGGAAGAAAATACACATATAACCAGGTTTCTGAAATGCTTCAATAAGTGGTTTAATGCCTTTTAGCAGTTTGCCTATAGCTAGTTTAATCAATTCGTTGTTTAATTTGCATGTTGTTCTTATTTCTGAGTTAGAAATTTTTTTACACCTCTCTTTGACAAGATATTTGAGATGTGTAATTATGAAAGTTAGATGTCATCATCTAGTAGATTTGCTTATTGATTTTACAACTGCCTGTAACAATGGTGTGGTGGCATCTAACCTTCTCCAACTTCACAAGGGGGAAGGAGAATCAAGATCAACAGCCCAACGCTGATTCCTATGGGGTGGACGTCAGACATGCCTCCTCACTCCACCATCTTTACCACTTCTAACATCAACCGTCCCTCCCACAGCACTCTGCTTCTCTGCTAAGTTCGGTAATTCATTGCAGTGGCCACAGAGAACTCACAGACCATACTCATGGTTATGGGGTTTGTTAGGGAAGTAAAAGGTTACAGTTCAGGTTCAGGAATACTCAGGATAAAGTTCTTAAATCAGGACAGCCTCTTCTCAGCCTCTCTCTGGCCCTCAGCCTCTGCCCTGATTAGGCAAGTGTTTGAAAGCTCTTTTAGTTCTGCTGATAAGTGTCCAGAGGCACTCCACTCCTCCAGTCAGCCTCAGGCCAAAGATGTACAGCCCTAGCTCTGTGGGTCAGCAAACCTAGCTATACTGAGTGCCCAGAGGCACCCTACTCCTGCCTGAAGGTGCTCAGCTTTCTCTCTGGGAAGCCCACCTGCTGGTCTGCCACCATCTTCGGTGTTAAAGCTCTCTTTCTCAGTCTTCTGGTTCCAGGGTCTTCTCAGCGCAGGGATCCCAGGTCCAATGGACTTGCTTCACTCCTGGCTTTTCTTTTGTGGTGGTGGTGAGATCCTCCCTTCCCACCTCTGGGATGGCTCATTTTAAGCCTAGTAGGATGGCAAAACTGACCAATCCCCTTGTTAGGGTTCCATACACCTTATTTGCATGGTCCCATCCCCACAAGGGTGCCATGCACCTTATTTACATTATTAACAAGGTATCCAATCCCTTTGGTGGACCACAAGCACCTCATTTGCCTAGTCTCACTCTGTCATTTGGTGGGAGTTACAAAAATTATGGCTAGGAGGACCATATTAAGTAATATACTGTACCCCACTGCCAAACCTGATTTTATATTCTTTTTGTTCAACTCAGTTGTTCAAGGACTAATTATCAAATATCTCTCACTTTTCCGATTTCTGTATGCCCTTTGCTTGAATTACTGGTTTTTAGGATAGCAAAGGTTATTAAACTTTATATCAGAAGATTTGAATTCAAGTTTAGACTCCAACACTTATTGAGTGATGGTTGGCAGGTGGTCTGGGTTCTGTTGATAAAAGTACCTGTTCAATTTTCATCATAGGATTATCACAAGGATTAAGTTAAGTGAGATAATAAATGTGAAATCTCTATGTAAATGAAAATATGGAAATATTGTCATTTTATTCAGAGCTAGTATATCAGTGGAGGGTACTGTTACTTTATATCACTCTAAAAATGTATGTTTTATATAAAGTGTATTCTTTTATTTATTTGCAAATATCAGTACGTACTTTTCTGAGATGATCTTTGTCCTACTTTACAACACAGCAAAAGCTAGCCAAGAATAGTATTACATGGTGATCCATTGAATTAGTCACCCTGGTTAATAAGTAGGTGAATAGAAAGTGAGTATAGTCTTGCATTTGGGAGTGTAAATCTTATCTTTCTTGGTCATCATGTATTGCCAGTTGAGAATTTCCAAGTGTACCTCAACCTGAAGTTTTTAGTGCTTACAACCAGTTGCCATTGGGTCAGTTTTGACTCATGGGAACCCCATGTGTATCAGAGTAGAATTGTGCACTGTAGGTTTTGCAATGGCTGATTTTTCAGAAGTAGATCAGCAGGACTTTCTTCTAAGGTACCTCTAGGTGGGCTTGAGCTGCCAGCCTTTTGGTTAACAGCTGAGTAAGTTAACCATTTGCACCAGCAAGGGTCTCCTACTCACTCCAACTCATAGCAACCCTATAGGACAGAGTAGAACTGCCCCATAGGGTTTCCAAGGAACGGTTGGTGAATTCAAACTGCTTACCTTTCGGTTAGCAGCCAAGCTCTTTACCACTGCACCACCAGGGCTCCCTACTTACTAAGAGTAGGTAAGAAACCTCATCATTTCACCAAATCCTATTGAAAACAATATTATACTATTTGAAGGAACCTTTGTGAATATATAGACAGATTCTTATTTAACAGGGGAGAAAATTTGGGCCCAGAAACAATCAGTAATTGGCTTGCCTGAGGTCATATGGCTTAGGTAGTGCCAGAACTGGAACTAAATCCAAGTGTTCTTTCTGTTCTGCTAAGATTGTGTCCAGGCACCTTGGTATGATTTGATAATGTTTTCTGGTTTGCATGAAAATGTATTAAAGGAATTTATATGAACATACATACATACTTTTTTTCTTTTTAGTTGGTTTAGTCTAGAAAATTCTAAGAAGACATAATTCTTTGACATTTTGGGGACTTTTTGGTTCCATTGATTTCACAAAACTTGGAAATGAACTCTAGATTAGAGAATCCTGATAAACCTAAGAAACCAGATGAACTGAAGTGCTAACTTCTTGTTAGTTGATTATTTACTTTAACAAAGATGTGCAAATATTTTAGAGGATACACTTTTAAAGAGCATATTGTCTCAAGAAACTCCTTATTTTGTCTGGGATATTTGTATAGAGTTTGCTGAACTGATGTTATGTATTATGTTAACCTAAATTCTTTCCTTTGTCCTGATTTGTTTACTTATTTTCTATATTGAGTAGATCATTTAAAACTATTATGCGGAATTTGAACAGAAGATACTTTTCTGTGTCAGATAAAAGGTGATACTTACAGTTTCCTTAAATTAAGCAAGGGCAGCCCTTTGAGTAGTTCTATCACCGCTGGCCTACCTATAATTGCTAAAGAGTTTGTCAGTATTCCAGAAATGCTTAATCTCTGTAATAGTACATTTACCCCTTGTTCTTGGCTTCTTTAATAATAAATTTGGTCTTTATAGATTATCTGGGAGGGGACTAAGCCAGTAGTGTGAAGAGGCAGGCCTACAAAGCTAGATTGCTTTGTTTTAAATTCCAGCTCTACTACTATATGACTCTTCAGTGAATTAGTTGCCTAACTTCCTGGTATCTCAGTTTCCTCCTAGACAATGAACCTGTTGCCATTGAGTTGATTCTGACTCATAGCGACCCTCTAGGACAGAGTAGAACTGCCCCATAGGGTTTCCAAGGAGCAGCTGGTGGATTCAAACTGCCAGCCTTTTGATTAGCAACCGTAGCTCTTGACCACTATACCACGAGGGCTCCCCTAGACAGTGAAGTGAGGAGTAAATGGATAAAAGTAAAGCGTTTAGAATAGTGTCTGGCATATAGTTAACCATCATTGTGATCATGATCATGATCATCATGTGGCCTGCTGAGCAGTTGCTAACAACTATTTCCCAGTCTTTTGAAAGCATGTCTTTATGTAGCTCCTTACTTGATTATTGTTTGCTCTTTATTAATGAAGGCTCAGTAAATAAATATTTCATTTTGTGAATATTTTACACTGTATGTGAGATTCTTAACCAAATGAGGTATTCTTGTTGGCCATTCTCTCAACGTTTTTGTATTACTGTTAACAGTTTAACATTATCTGTGGAAGCCATAAAACAGAATTTGAAAATTGAAACCAATCATTCTTTTGATGTTTAATGATGTCTTCTAGCACCAATTTTCTTTCCATGGTAAGATCATTTTGCTGTGAAATCTATTGCCTTATCTGGTCATTCATCCAGTGAGTGAACAGACATCTGTGTCTCAGTCCTTACACCTGGTTCTGGGAAAAACAGTGGGAACCAAGAGAGACATATGTTCTTGACACACATATATTCCTAACAGAAAAATAAATAAATACAGAAATGAAAGA